AACAAACAAAATACAAATCAGTAAAAGCGTTATGTTACTACAAATCAAGTGTAAACAGGGACTCACCTCTTGAACTGTCAAGTGCGGTTCTTTCGTATACCTCGTCAAATCCATATCTCGCAGGTACTCGCCCAAGAAATGGCTGCAAAGTGCAACATCTTTGCCCAAACTGTCCTAAAGACAGACATGCTGACTTTTAGGCATTTCCGTCGTGCTACAAAATTATGGATACCACTTCGACAGCTACTCGCACGGTCTGCTTGCGCAATGCATTAATGGACAACATCTAATGAACTGTATGACTGCACTTCCGTTTTTGTTTTATGATTATACACAGCACCTTGCTCAGTGTTCAACAGAACACATATATCCAGCGACCTGGTCTTTGGTACGCCGATGATCCGGAGAAATGTGGCATTGCAAAAATCAAAATCATAAAAAGCATCGGAAGTTCTTCAGCTAGCAGCGAAGCATGCCCCCACCCCGTGAAAATGAATCCAATTGGAAGAAGGGTTCGCGTGGGAGTGTATTTGGACTACCGTGTGCTGAGACTGTCGAGCAGCGTCAAATAAATTACCCTTCGAAGGAACCTGATTTTTTCACTTGTCCTAAATCATGCCTTCGATCAGTATACAGCGCTCATAACTATAGGCCAGGATACGTGCTGAAGACAGACAGAAGACGCGTACTAAAACTGAAGCAAAAGATGGAGATGGTCCTTCAATCTGAGTTGAAAGAGTGATTTCTGTTCGACGCTCTGAAGGTGAAGAAATCTGATTGAGTAGTTGACATGCATTTACTAACACTATATCAAGTAAATGGCTACCGCGGGCTAACCCGACACTGACGTTTCCTTCTGAGCGACATCCTTGAGCACTTATGACAAAAAATCGCTTTTCTCCTAATACCGTTGCTAGGCATTCACATATGACCGAAAAGCAGATTAACAGCTTAAAAGGTAGAAAAGTTATTTTATCATTGTTTAACCAGCTTATGAAAGAGACTTTATTCAGAAGCGTTCACATCGGTATATATGGCTGCGCAAACGAAACAGAACAGGATGCAAAAATTGCTTACGTTACTTGATTAATCAAAGGCATGAGGATTTATATGATGTCTTCTCTAATGAATCATGTTGGCCGTCGCTTAGCATAGTTATATGACCTGTAACTGGTTCCAAATCAACAAGATATCGTTACAGTAGATATTGCCATAGAAAATGATTCACACAATTGCATTATAATGCAAAAGCGTGCAACTTCTTTGCTTCTAGAAGCCTACAGAACCACTGAACCAGGTCAAGGATTAGACAATACTTGAGTAACTGTACTGTGGGACGCATAACGTAATGAAATAATAACTGACATAACCATACATGTTCACGGTTAGAAGTGGTTCCAGCAACGTAAAATGCTCGTAGCACCAACGAAAATGCTTTTCAACTCAAAAACATAACATTATGAAATTATGATGAAGATGGACTAAGAGGTGCGTTAGAGTAACATATATCGTAATGTCGCGCAACGAACTTCTTTTATTCTATATTTAGTGTTTATTATGTTAAACTCGATGAACGACATCCTACTAACTTTTATCAGCAATGTTGACCAACTCAATGTTTTAACGAACGAACCTTTCCGGTTATTTATGCATTTTCCTGTTGATCTATCTTAATTTTGATTTTTCATTTTTTCATCCTTTCATTCATAATTGGTTTCTCAGTACAAATCAACATATTCTACGCAGCGAGCGTTTCATTCAAGATACAACGTTCGTATAAGACAGTTATTTTGTCTTTCGCTGAAAGATTTTGAGACTCAGGAGCTGTTAAATAACACTGCTTACCTTTTATCAACTTTTATAATTTTGTTGAGAATCTTCCGCGATTTTGTCACGTGAAATCTTTATTTTGCGATACTCTTCTAACACTTCACTGTGATATTTTCCTCACTTTCGCACAAAACTTTTGCTTCATCATTATCCCACCATAAGTACATAAGTACATTTTGTGTGTTGAAAGTTCGGTTTTAGTCTTAAAAATAAAATTATATTCGATAATTATCCATCCAAACAATAAAACATTCATAACTCATTCATTTATAGACTTATTCTTCCACCATTCGATGTAAACCGCAGAAATAACAAAGCAAAACGATACCTTTTGCTCCCAAAGGAGAAAACGAAGGAACTTGCCGAACTTAACGACGTGGCCATCATCCGAATAAGCGGTGAACTTTTCTGAAAACAACTAAAAAGCAGCTTCAATGAAGCAAAGACGATAAACCTGGCGGTGGAAAAAGCAAGTACCGAATGTACGTGAATCAGTCGGCGGTACGCATTGGCAAACGCCTCGAAGCCAAGGTGATCCTAAAGTCAACGAATGTTAAAAATCTGAAAAAAAGCAAAACGGCAAAGGAGTTACAATAATAACATAATGCGATTTCCAGCGGAAGTCGGTATCTAGCATATTTTAAAAACGTCCTTTGAATCTATCGCTGACCAATCAAGCAGATTTCTAAACGTTTTGAGCATAAACGTGAAGCAAGAATATCTGAAAGGCAATGAAGGACGAACTGCTCAGTCACAACTTCTTGGTTTAGGAAGGAGGAAAATAAAGTTCGTAGTCAATGAGAAGTTGCATTCTGACACATCCACGATTACTATCATTTATGGTACCCTTTATTTCATTAGTTTATGCTGCGGAGATCATCTCCGTTTTTGTCACCAGTAAACGTTGCATCATTTTAAACATCATGCTAACACCTATACTTCATCAGCGAATAAACGCCAAGTAATTGCCCTATGCTGAAGAGAGAGGGGCGATCAAATGTGTTCCAACATTCATGCAATTAACTTTCACCCCCTAAGCATTAAAATATCCTGGAAAGGCTACGGGAAGTAGTAAATAAAAGAATTCGGACGGTGTATTCTTGGCCTGACCCAATTTTCGCTGGAAATATGATTATTAAGCAATGCCTACGATTGTTGCCTTGGTTTGTCATTCTGCTTAACAATAAGGCTACATTTGATTTAATACATCGTCCAACGATGTTAAGAATCTTAATATGGTATGAGATACAAAAGATATCGTTTCTCTTCTGGACGAGATGTATGGAGAAACCATGTATGTTCTTACAGTCGAAGGAGAGCAATCAAAATTTTAAATTTTCTTTCACATCTTGCGCTGGTTTTTATCAGATATAAGGTGCGCCAACTCCGCCATGGCCGGTCCCAAGCCCGGATGAGAAAGGAGGAGGGTTGGAGACCGTGGCAAGTCTC